TACACAATTAATGAAACCCGAGACGTTTCGACTCAAAACTGAGTCATTTTCAGTCGGAAACAATGAAAATTTTAAAAAAAATTTAAAAAGTCTTTTTAAATTTTTATTGTTTCCGACTGAAAATGATTCAGTTTTGAGTCGAAACGTCTCGGGTTTCATAAATTGTGTATTTGTAGCCTTGTTTCCCGTTTTTCATCCTTGTTTTTCCACTGTTATCATTGTCTTGGGCTGCTCTTAAAAATTTGTATCTCTTACTGAAATTGTTGAGGTCATTTTTACAAGAAAAAGCTAGAAATTTAAATTCTTCCTGATGGAAGTGGGAATCTAAGAGTATCAGTTTCAGAGTGTATCAACCAAAGACAAGTATGATCATTTCCAGGGATGAAAAATGAAGTTTAATGATCACTTAAAGATGGATTTCGGTTCGATCTCGCAACTGAAGGGTAATTTGAGCCGGAGTGCAGTCCACACCTGGTCGAGTCGACCGTTGGTTCATCCTAACGCTTCACTTGGGAGCCACAAAAAACAAAAAAAAAAATGATTTCCATAAATGGAGGTCCCCACTGCAGCCCGCCGGAAGATTTTTTTGTGTAAACGCAGTCTGGGTGGCTGTCTGCAAGCATGCTTGTGTGGATGAAAAAAAAGAGGGAAAACATCTAACTGAACATGGAGTCCCGTTGCGTGGTCACGAATTCTGATTAATATTGGGGGTGGACTGTTCATCGTAAGAAATATCGGTGTGACAGACTTTGGACAGGATGTAATTCTCTTTTTGTCAGTCATGTCCGCCTTCTCTTTATTTTTCCAAAATTTTCGGTAGTTTGACAAATCCTACACGCTAAGATCGATACATTATTATCGGATGGATATTACGGATAAAGGGATGATATTTTGTTAACTGTGTATATGGTGGTTTTAAAAATCGCCCAAAAGTATGATTTCGTATCAAAATATTAATTTTTCACTTCGTCAATTAAAATGCCCTTCTCTCTTACATCATTGTCCAGCTAATTTCGGCATATACGTTTGAATATGAACGTGAAGAAATCGTTTATAATAGGTATTCAACTGCTCATCTTCTGATGATATGGGATAACATAATTAAAGCCATGTCTAACAACAATTATTTCAGTGTTTTCTTTAAAAAGAAAGTATACATATAAGCATTTAAAAGAAAATTAAAATGTTCAGTCTAATTGTTCCCTTCCCGCACGCTCGGGAAAATAATAGAATTTCAATTACAACCACCTCTTCACCCCATTTAATATCTCGACCAAATTTGTCCTCAGCAATCATCTCAAAGGGGTGGAAATTGTTTTCTCTGATACTCCCTTTCTTTCCAGTAATCATCAAAGTGCACGGGAGGTAAAATATAAGGAAAGAAGAGTCTTAGTACTTAATTAATTCATGGAGCCACCTGCATTAGGGGCAAATACTAAAAAGATGAGTATTTTTTGATAACTCACGTCGAAACCATAGGGAACTTCCAGGACTGTTTTCGCTACAATATTGGAACTTCTTAAATCAACTGTAATTAATATCAACAGAACGATTCTCGGTTCACTCTCTTCCCTCCAAAGGAAGCACGTTCTTTTAATTTTGGAACTTAACGCAATCATTACTTCTCGCTTTACCCTTTTGAATTCTCATGATTAGATGGAAATTGTACGTTTTAAAATTTACTGAACTCGTCAAAATAAAAAGGAACAGGGCCTCCGTTACTTAAGATGTTTGTTCAAATTCATTGAAAGGGCTTTAAACTACCCGTTTCAACCAACAGGAACATTTTATTTTCCTTTATCGTCCATAGCTATCGTCCTCTTTGTCCATAGATGTCTTTGTGTCTATCGATTTCGTGAATCAGCCCGCAGCCTCCTCTCCCAAGGTATTCTCGTTTGGACATAATTTCTATAAATCCCCAACTTACCCAATATAGATGCAGAAATATACAGGGTGATCTTAAAGTACCGCAGTTGGACATCACTCCTGTAACGTAGAGCGTTACTCCTGTGACGTAAGAGTGGTTAGGAAAACTATACAGCCGGCTGTTGCCTTTTTCACTTATAGTTAGTGCAACTACCCTTACGGTTCGCGCTAAAATCAGCTGGAAGTATAGTTAAGATTGTGATACTTTTTTTTACAATGTATAAACACCGCCCGATTCAACCAATAGGGTCGCTCCATACTCCTTATGTCTCCTTTGTCTACAGCTTTGTCTATCAATTGGATTGCATTTTGCAAAAAGGAACCACTAGCATTGCAATGATGCTAAGATTGTGGAACTTCATCTTTTGCAATAAAATTGCGGGAATCGTGAAAAAACTATGAAATTTAGATGGTAATTTTTCTCTTAAATTTACAGTTTTTAGCGAGTAAAATAGAAACTATTAATGGATAATCGGGTTTTTCCTCCAAGACAAAAGAAGTTGCACAATCATAGCGACATCGCAATGCTAGTGGTTCCTTTTTGCAAAATGCAATCCAATTTCAACAGTCAACCCATAGGGATGGTGCTGGACTTTTGGATGACCCTGTAGAAATTCTGCCGTAATTCGGACAGAATCAACCCATGGGCTCCAAGAAGAAGAACCCAGTTCCGTGGCCCCTGGTCTCGTCATGCCAGATGACGCATTCAGTCTGTCACCGATGAGCAAACCTTTCATTGTCTAATGGAAGGCGAGCGGTGCCACCCCGAACAGGAAACGGGCCACTTTTCTCGATAAGCTCGCGGTGGCGGGGACGAAAGCGCCCGGGAAAGGGGGTCGCTGGGCAGTAGCCGTGGCCGCTGGCGAGTAATGGATTTGTAACGTGATCGCCGCGACCAAATAGAAGAGCCGAGACGCGAGACGTCACCGTCCGATATCGTCGCGCTCGGATATTTAAACAGCAAATGGACGCGTCTCAACGTCCTGGGGTCGCGGGGAGACCACACAGTGGGTGAAGCTTTGGGTTCTGGCGGAAAAAGCATTCCCCTAGCGATACGGAAAAATGAAATTGATGATTTTCAATTCACAGAGCTCCAATTGGAGAATTTCCACACGCAAATTTTGTTGCTACATCTGAGAGTGCTTAACTAGCTGAGTTTGCAGTATTTTTCATAATTTTTTTCTGAAATGGGAAATTGGAGAAAAACAGATTTAAAAGTGAGAAAATTTGCCGCCTCATGACGTAATCTGGCGGCATTTTCCATTTGAACACATGTAATTTTTGCAGATTAGGTTCTTTTGCCATATTCCCTCCAATAATTGTCCAATGTTTAGAAACCAAGGATATCCTCGCACTCGGTTTTCCTACCAGTATCACTTTAAAGATGAAATTTTCAAAATCTCAGATACCTGGAAATTCTCCATTGATGTTTTTCAATGTAGATTTTACAATAAGGAAATGGTAATTTAATCGCATCCCCGTGGTTAAATTAGCTTTCCGCGATAGGAAATTTACAGGTGTCTGAAATTTGATAAATTTCGTGTTTAAGTGGAAACTACTGAGTAAACTGAACACGAGGATACCCTTGGTTCATGAATTGAACAAATATTGGAGAAGATATGACAAAATGATCTAATCTGCTAAAATACGTGTGTTTAAATGGTAAATGCCGCCACATGATGTCACTAGGTGGTAAATATTCTCACTTTTAAATCTATTTTTATACTATTCCCCATTTCAGAAAAAAATTATAAAAAATACTGTGAAATCAGCTCTTTAAGCACTCTCAGATGATGCAATAAAATTTGTGTGCGCAAATTCTCGATTCATGTGTTTCAATGTAGATTTTACAATAAAAAATGGTAATTTAACCGCACCCCCGTGGTTTTATTAGCTTTCCGCAATTATAAAAAGTACATTTGAAACGTTCAATTCCTTCCACGGGTTCAGCCCAGCAATGCCCATAATTTACCCACTGCATCCTATCCGCGGCGATCAATTTCTCATTTCTCCTCGCCTGTCTGTGTGCGGCAGTTGAACAGCAAACAATAGCCAATAGGAGAGCCGGGAGGCCGCGTTTTGGCGTGCGTTTAATTCTGAAGGGATGATCCAGCGAAGGGATGAAGTGCACACAGGCATTATTTCGTAAAATCAGCGAGAGGAATTTTGGAAAATCAGTAGGACATAGATTCCAAACGATCAATCTAATAGAGTTAGAATGATTTTTAGTGCCTTTTAATTGAATTCATTCTTAAGTATTCCTTTTCAGGAGGACTACAAACAATTATTTCCTATACTTGACGAGTTTTACTCATATTAAAGGTTGATCTCCATGGTATCCGATCCGATGACCCAGGAGACTTGTTAAGTTCTTTTTTGCCCCCTTCTCAACCCCACCCTCTTGCCCCGACCGGAATCTTCCAATTACCATTCTAGTGTAAATAGGAAACACGAATCCCCCAGACCGCCATCTCTTTTTTCATCTCCGCACTTTTAAATAATATGCCCATAGCAGCAGCGGGTACGCCAGGACTTCCCTACCGAACACCGTCCCGTATGAGATCTCTATAGCTGTACTTTCGATACGACGTAATCTAATATTTTATCTTTTGACTCCACCTGATCTGTAAACGAAGGAAAAAAATACCTTTTTCAGCATATCTCGTTTTTACTACGGTAAGGAATTCCGAGTGCTGTCTGCTGTACTGTGGAAAAACGCCGTATGAACTTTCAGGCGTTGCCAAATTTCCTTTGATAAAACTCGAATTTCCTGGTAAATAGATGAGTATATTTCTTCCAATTTTTCAGATAATTTTGCTCACAATTCCATCGGAAGTCCTAAAAATTTAAAGGAAAAACATTCATAACTTTCCTCGAAAATAGACATTTTTATCGAGGGAAATTTAGCAACTCTCGAATGTTCTTACGGCGTTTTTCCTCATCACGGCAGTGTAAGAGCCGGGAATTATCTTTTAAAATGAGCAGATTTCTTCTAAAAATACGCTGTTACCCTTATTATCAGAAACTTGAAAAAAAAGAGTAAATTCTTCATAGAAAAAATAATCAATTCTTACCTCTACTTTTCTGCTCGTCGACTAATTGCCTTTCTATGCTGACTTTTTCTTCCCTTTCGCGTAAAACATCCATTTTCAATTCAGCTGAAACAAACAAGTAAAAATACGGTGAGTAAAATGGATGCAAAGTCTGATAATTTTCTGCACTAAAATACTTGGAAAAGTTCTGGTTTAAAATGACGATCTTCTAACTTGTTAAAGTGACACCAGCACCTAAATACTCAATGAACTTTTAATTAATAGTTGTCATAACCATAATAGAGATATTTTTACCATTAAGTGGTAATTTCACTACCGCACACTTGTAAAATAACGATTGCTCCAGTAAAAATATCACTATTATTGATTACGGCCACTACTACTTAAGAGTGCATATTAAACACCACTAATATGGTAATTATAACCATAGTTTTTTTCTCAGTGTGGAGATACGTGGTTTAGCGCTTTGACCATCGATATGAGACTAATGTCGCCCCCCCCCCAATTCTCTTAGAGGCAAAGCTTATTCCCAGCATCTAAGCCCGAGTGTGTCACTCCCAGAGACGCACTGCGACATCGCGTCGCGGTCATAAGCTCTCCTCATCGGAACAAACCGCGGCAACAATCCGCGGAACACTCGAGCAATAAACGGAACAATGGGAAAAGCAACAAACCGCACACGAAACAAAGAGCCCAGAAACAATTAGCGGGCCGCGGTTGCATGTCACGACTCAAAGCTCGCTTTTCGCGTTGGTCCCGGGCGGGAATTCTCAGCAAGTTTCGCACTGGCGCAGGGCCACTCGGCACTCCACCATTCAACAGGCAGCCGTCTTCACACGAGCTAATTCACCGCTGAGTGTTGTTCCACGATTGTCATCGAGCTGTCATCAAGAGCCCTTCGCAATGACCATTGAGTTGTGTGCATGCGTGTGAGAACCATTTGCGAGTCTGTGAGGACGTATTGTTGCACTAAAAGTTACGTTTCTCGAGAGGTCGCTAAGAGCTGCATTCATGGTCGCTATTCATGTCCTTTTTCTTATATTGGGCACCCCCTTTCTTGTCTAATTATAGTCTTATTTGTGTCATTATTTTACCTTCCTTTATTATTGATACTTCGTCAACTACCGGCTGAAGTATCACAGGCGCCACGCGACGTTTCAAAATTTCAGTGTACGGAAAGAATGAGATAAGGGCTGGGCCCTAGAATTGCTTCACATCATATACCCCACAGGGACAGGCCCTGCGTGGGTAGGGCCCAGCCCTTACCAAGTAGGGCTGAACCCTGAAGCAAGTACTATGGGGTATGAAGTAAAGCAATTTTACCTATCCGCTCAAGGCTGGGACCTTCCGCGCAGGTATCAGCCCTAAACCCGTTTTTTCCGTTCATTAGTATATACATTTTATTTTTGTAGTGTAATTGTAAGTGTGTGTAAAATTTGTGAGTAAGTGTAAAATTTGTAAGTGTGTGTATTTGTAAGTGTGTGTAAAATTTGTAAGTGCGGGTAAAATTTGTATAAGTGTATGAAATTTAAAACCCAGGGACCGAATAGTGCAATATTCTGTTCGATTGAAAATGGAAATTAATACTTTACTTTTTTTCAAGTGGCAACGTTTGTTCGCACCTTACATGCGCAAATAACTTGACCCATTCCTTATTCACCTGCCCTCATGTGCAATGCGAAGCAATTTGTTAAAAATAAGTGCCGATGAAAGCTCATTCGAAATCTCCGCACGTTCTGGAGCTTCGATTTAGCAACGCTATAACCTTCTGCCCAGTTTAGTCGCGCACACTTCATCCGATTTAAAAGCAGTAAATCATTGTGTACATGGTATGCAGCACTACCGCTTTGCGTAGCGCGTAGCGGGATGTCATCTACAATTTTTCACTTTTTTCTTGGGCGCCAAGTCAGATGGGCGAGTGAGGGTACCAGCTTTACATATTCTCTCTTTAATTTTTCACGTGGAAACAACATTTATTTTTAATCATCGCGTCGAAGGCGGTCTCCACGAGTAGCAGTGATCGCGATAAGTTGCGATTTCATCGGCGAATGAATCGAAATTTTGTCGACGTCGATAAATTGCAATATTATTGGATAAAATATTGCAATGAATTTCGATTTCGTCACATGAATTCGCAGCAGTATCGCGGTTCTATCGACGAATATTTATCGCAATATTATCGAACAAAAAATCGCGATTTAGACAAAATTCGATTTGTTCGAACGAGATTCTACAACGATAAAATTGCGACAAGATCAAGGATATAATCGCTCAGATATTGATGATCCTAGCGGTTTTATCGCCAAAAAATTGTAGACAAAATTTGCGACTTAATTTCAAAATATCGCGATTTTTCCGTTGAAAAACTGTACTTGGTCGCTATGCGAAATCAAGAGGTTCAGTTATATTGTAAATCCAAGTGGAAAAACTGATTTTGCCTAAACTCGAAATGCGTATGGTCTAATCAAGGAATCCTGGGAGCTTGGAGCACAAGAAGATATCGAGGGGAAAATAGTATTTAAAATGAAACATCAGAATTTTCCTGTTTATTTAAGTTACAAATTACAACTGAAAGCTCTGGAGGCTCTCTGCGTTTTACATCATCAGACAATCGGACGTATGTCTACCAAACGGAACTACGTGCATTATGACAAGAGCCCTGAGACCCATAGGAATATATGTATAACACGGCTCACGTCATATTGCACATAGTTCCGTTTGGCAGAAATACGCCCAATCGATCGCCTCCTAAGAAGGGTGAATCAAAATTAGGCCAATGGGTCGAAATTTTATAGCAGAGCGCGCCCGTCATGCTGCTAATCCTCATTATAGGATTAGATGTCTTATGGTGACTCCCTCTTTTTCCACCCCTACAGCATCACCCTTCAAGTTTTTTCCCCCTGCTACGCCGTTATGTAGTTGGACCTCTCTTCTGCTTTGCCGTGTGGCAGCAAAGAGAGCAGTGAGTCTCAAATTTTCAAAATCGATTTTCTTTCCAAATTCGTCTTAACTTATTTAGATCGGTTTTTTTTTGTGTGAACAACACCCTCCTTATACGATTGAAATAAAATTGGTCAATATTTAATCATGCAAACAATTTCTAGGAGTCTTTTGCATTGGCAAATCCATTAAATTGGCAATAATGTCTTTTCTCTTTTTAAACCTGTGGAAATGTATCGATTCTTATAGAGAGGCTAGGTGCTCCGAAAAGAATCGATTATTCAGCAAAGGTTTAAATGGAGGAAATCCAACTTTGCCAAACTGCTGGATCCGCCTCTAGTCTTTCGAATGGTTGGTGTTGGTGGCAATTTAACAAAGAACGGAGGCTTCTTTTAATAAAATTTTCCAGTCAGACGCTTAATTCTGAGCCCATTTTCTCCAAACTTCCTTTTCGCACTTACTACTCTCTTTGCTGTAACGGTAGACTTGCTCTCAGAACAACTCTGTTTCACTCGCCTATGCCTTACTTTATTTCCAGATGGTGCTGGAAAAGTGCAACATCGAAGGCGCTTGGATACAACTATTCGTACTTTGGCGCTGTTTGTAGTATCACGTCAATTTGAAGGCGAAAAAAGAACGGAGGCATCTTTCAATGATATTTTCCGCTCAGGCAGAGCAGAGACCATTTTCACCAAACTTCATTTTTGCACTCCCTCTCTTTTCGCTATCACGGCAATATAGAGAGTTAGCTAGTACATTTTAAGACATTCCGTGCCACAGGCTATTAACGTCTGTATAGTGAATTTTGAAAATGGGAGTATATACGAAAATTTAGATTTTTAAATTAAGATAGGTGAAGAGTTTCAGAATTTTGGTAGTAACATATGGTTCATCGCATTTAAGTGGGTTTGTATTTCTGTTGATTGTAGGGGAGTAGATCTGTGATTCCCTTATTCCCGAGACTGGAAATATATATCCTCGGTCTTGGAGAAATTCACTGATGACCAGGCAACGGAGCGGTGGCCGGTGCGAAACGCATTCTGCGGATTAAGGATGCATATGTAAGACAAATGACGAGTGCCAAGTACATGATGTTCGATGATCGGTGTCTCGTCTCGGCGCGCACATCGATGGACGGACCTCCCGCGTCGCACATGCGGGAACAGCCAATGGAAATCTGTTGTCGGGTCCCTCTGCGACAACCCGTCATCCATCGCCCCACACCGCCCCAACTTAACGCGAAACGCAGCCACGCATCCGGTGAATTTTCGCCATCAAATATTATACGCCACGGAAAAAAAATTTAACGTTGCTTTATCATTTATAATGTTAAAAAAATGTGCGACAAGTATAAATGCTGATTTCACAATAAAAAAAATGTCACGTTAACTATGTCCACGATTAAATGAACAAATTCTATTTTTTTAAATGTAAAATCAGTATTTGATACAGATTTTTTCTAATGCGTAGCTGCTATTTAAAAAAAAAAAAAAAAAAAAAAAAAAAAAAAAAACGTAAAAAAGCGCTTTTTAGTCCATTTTTTCAAAATTGCGGCAAATGCACACCAGGTACGTTTAAGAAAAGAAAGAAATTGAGTCTCGGTCTCGCAATAACAGCTAATTGACGGCTCATTTATATTTTTTTCCGGTTGAAAATGAAATTGTTAATATTTTGAAACGTTCCGGGTTTTTGTTTATCCTTTGTTATTTTATGCAGCCTTTTCCCTAAATTAGATTGTTATTTTATTAATGTGAATTTTGGCTGATTAAGTCGTTTCTCATTCGTTTAAGGAAACTTCAGATTCGGATTCAGCGACCCGTACACCAGAAAGTAGGCCAAAAAAATAGCTGTGTACTCGAAATTCCAGGTAGACCTATCAGGCGCCTGAATGCAACTATATGTGTTCGAGGGCTGTCCGTGTTGCATACGCAAGAATTGAAGGCGCACAAGCTTCCCTCACCGACATTCCAAAGTCACCATCAAGCCATGATACACACTCTCAAGTTGTTACAGCTGGTTGCAAAGGAGTCTAAATCTGGTAGAATAAACACGAAAAGGCGATAAAAAAATCCAAAATGAAATTACATCTGAAGCCTACGCGTTTCTCCCTTTCAGGCTATCTGAAATTCGATATCGCTGAAGCGAAACACGAACTCCTCCCACGC